GAAGGGTTGTTCCAGCTTCTTTGCATAATGTTTGTCTTCAAGAATGGTAGGTTGTCTTTGTCAGTGACAATCTTGTCCCACTCACTCTGTGAGTGGGAGGCGTGCGTATTACTTGTGTAGAATCTGTGGGTTGTGGGTATTGACACAAAGGCAGCATTCCAACAAAATGAAAGATTGGAGGTTCAAGTTTAGAGGTCTTCGTTGCCATAGCCTTGGGTCTTTCTTGATCTGTTTGCCCAGAAGTTGAGAATGAAGAGGTTCAGCAGGAAGCTGAGGTTGAACAGATGGATCTGGGAACTGAGATGGAGACGGAAGCTGAGATTGAAGAGATTGTGTGACTTCTTTGTCATTGAATAATAACTTGTTGTATGCAGTTTGACTGACTTCTTTGTCCTCAAAGAATAACCTGTTATATGGGGTTTGCTGAGATGGTTCCAGAGTTGACTCGTGTTGAGTGTTGGGAGGTTCCTGAAGGTAATCAAGGATGTCTAATCCATTTTCTTGTGTGGTGAATGCAGTGATAATACTGACTTGATGGTGATGGAATATGATTGGATGATGACAAATGAATTGGATGGTGGGTGTAGAGCCAACTGAGATTGGAATCAGTCCCGGCTAAGGGAAAACAATTGCTGAAAAAAACAATTGCTGAAAAAAAGATTTGTAAAAAAGAAATTACGCACAAAAGGACAAGATCTTGCCTAAGCACATCAAATTGTCAACCATGGCCTGTCTTGTCCCCACCATTTTTGTCTCATCAGAGCATGACCACTTCACTGCCCCTCTCTAAGATTGACTCCTTCACTGGCACTTGCTTGTAGCTGTAGATTAAACACTATTTCATTCTTCAAACAAAAATGCTGCTTGATTGGATTATGTCCAGAAGAATTTCACACACATAAATCATGGCTATACAAAAATTTACAATGAATCCATCAGCTAGATCATAGCCAATGTGCAATACTTGTTCATTGAATCAATGCCAGCTGGACAATTTGGTGATATCAACTTCCTTACACTCTTGCTTCATTGTTGCAAAGAATTTATTCATCGAGTCACTTCACAAAGTTGAAAATGTGTTGAGATCATGTGGGAGATTTTTGGGGGAAGGCTTAGAATGGTCATCAAATTCTTGGTTGATATTGACAAATTGTTCATACAAGATTCTTCCAAAACAGGTGAGATCCCTTGGCAATTCTTTCACAGGTTTGGGAACATGGCGGTCAAAAAAACAAGACATACATGGTATGAATTGGAATCCTCTCTTTAACCAACAAGAACTTTCCTCACCCTATTATGTGAAGTTGTGCTAGATGCTTATTCTGGAATTGCTCCATCTGTGCTTTGGTCAAATGTGGATACTTGCAGGTGTGATCAGCTTTGCCACCCATGGTACCTCTGAGGTCCTCTTTGTTGTCAGGTAAGCTACACCCCAGGGCGCTTCTTGCCCAGCGGGAATGTGGATCCTACGGGAGACGCCGACCCCATGAAACCAACGTGGAATTCACCCAACCCCCCGTGAATTTCACCTCCTTGTATGCATGAGGTGGTCACGACGGGATTCCCGGTGGAGACCTCATCACTGGGAATCCTTGTGGACCTTCGACAAGGATTCCCAGTGATCAGATGTTCACCGGGGTCCGGGAATCCCTGTTGTGACCATGGCAACACCGCAAGCGATTCACATGGGCCAACACACCTTTTCACCGGGGTGGCACCCAAGCTAGGACGGGACGGATTGGATGGACTTAGAAGGTTTCTTTCAGTCCCCCACACTCAGGTCAGTATTTCAGTGCAGTTCCATCATTGTCCGTTGACTTCAACTCCGGGTTTCCTGACTCCTGCCTGGATTACCGACTGCAGTGTGTCCTGAATGTCTTCCGACGAGCTTGATATGGCGCCGCAAGACACGCCTGACTCAATGTTGATAGCAGAATCTGTTGGCCTTCAGGAAGCGGCCCAGATCACTCCGCCTCCCCGTGCCAATCCTTGCACACCCAGCCCGGATGATACATCCCAAGGCCCTAACCCGTCCATTGACATATGGATCCAATACCGGCTGTACTCCGATGTCCAGACGGTGGGCGATTCAGAAAAGGTGTACAAGCGCATCACCAACAGGGGCCCTATGCCCCCAATGGACCTGCATTTCCGGGACATGACTCTCTCCTTGTTCAAGACCTTTGTATTCAAACACTGATTCAAATATCTGATTGATTTGATAGCGACTCAAGCCGAGCGGGCTGCGGTGCTACACTGGGCCTACATGGTAGGGGAACCAAACGGCGCACCCTGTTCCCATGGCCAATTTCCAAGGGTTTGTTTGAGCGGCGGAGAACTTGTCTCACACAGCCAGGGCCGCCATCTACCTTGAAATGCCGGAGGCAACTAACAAGACCAATCCATGGGTGGTAGTTACTTTGGTTGTACATGTACGTTGTTTTCTTGTCTACTTGTGCCTCATCTGACTCGGCTCATTCTAATTGGTTTGGCTCCTCAGCCCGGGCGAGCTAGGAGAGGGCTTGTTGTTGTTGCAGGAGATCAAGCTGAATTCGGTCCAGACAATGTAAGTGATGTCTTCTGATCTACCTACTCCTTCCTCATCTGATTCTGATTGGTTTGCCTGCTCAGCCCGGGCAAACTAGTGGTGGGCGTGTTGTTGTCGCAGGCGATCAAGCTGAACTCGGTCCAGACGATGTAAGTGAGGTCTTCTTCTCTAATCCTTCCTCATCTGACTCTATTGACTGATTCTGATTGGTTTGCTTCCTCAGCCCGGGCAAACTAGGGTTGGCCGCGTTGTCGTGACGGGCGATCAGGCTGGACTTGCTCCAGACAAGGACACAGTCTCTGGTGGTACAAAACATCGATTGGAGCCTGATGACCTTCCATCTCCGAAGCGCCCAAATCTTGAACTTGGGCAGGTTGGCATCCCTTGTCAAGACACTACTTTGCTTAATATTGATGGGTTTCTCACCATCTGTGAGATCCCTTTGGACTACCAGCCAATCAGAGATGTCATTGCCAAGAATGACATCTTCCACTGGACTGCTTTTGAAGGTGCCACCAAAGATGACTTGTTGGATCTTGGTTTGAAGTGGGGCCCTGTACAATCAATCTTGTGTGGGCTCAAGAAGGCAGGTAAACATTGTCAATCCCAAGATTAGACTTGTTCTCTCTCTGTCTGCACAGCTGAATTTCCCTATTTATCCTTGTCTTTTTCACTATTTATGCCTGTCTTCCTCACATGATTGTTATATTGAAATTTTTATCATTTGATAAACTATATGACTGAGCAATACCATGAAATAGAAAGACAAGATCTTCACCACGTGAAGGGTTGTCTTTTGAAATAGACACAACCAAGATTCTGGAATTGAGAACATCAAACAAGGACAAATAGTAATCACGATTTCAAGACAAGAGTGACCTTCTGACCACATTGGCAGAAGCCTAGCGGATGTTCAAGAGGGTGTGTTCGCGGACTGAGAATTGAGTGATGGTTGGGTAGATACAATAGATGGTGTAGCGACAGGGACTAGATTGACCAAGGGAAGAGGATAGGAAGTAGAAAATGAGTTAGGAGAAGGAACAAAGTCCTTGCTCATTTTCTGATGAGGGCAGTTGTTGAAGAGAGTTGATTGTAGTCGGTGACAATGATGAATGAGAGAGTTGAGGAATGGTAACTGAAGGTTGGGGTAGAATGTGTTGAGAGGTAGATGTTGGAGACTGCTGGGTAGAAGATTGAGATAGGTGATGAAGGAGGCCTCATCATGATTTTGGTTTGGTTGTAGGTTCAAATGTCCTAATTTATGGTTGCACGGTGTTTGGGATTTGGATGGATCATTTGTGTGTACAAATAGCTATGTGCTCAATGAGTCATACAAAGCAATGCAACTAAAATACTTCCTTTGCCATGCCCCATGGGCACCAGAAAATGGTCTCCCATGTGTGCCTATAACTCTTGGAGCAGGGAAGAGAGATTGATCTTTGAACCTGATGGGTACAAAATGTCATGCACTATGAATTAATGCAAATATGATGGGGGGGGGGTTGTCATTAGGCTGACTAAAGTCAGGGAAGAATGATTCACTCCTCGTTTCAGAATAAAAAAATACTGCAGTCTTGAATGCATTGGCCATGGGTCTCCTAAATGATGGCATGCACATCCAATGTGCGACACCACACGGCCGTGGGTCTGTGACATTGGAAATATTTAACGTTTCTTCTACATTCATGTTGGGATCTTGCCGCATGTAGTAATTACAGTTGTGACGCAGTTCTTCCACCACTCTTTCTTGGATGTGCATATACTGACCCTCACCCTGTCCCAGACAGTATGCTACTGCCCTGAATCCACAGTGTCCCATCTCCCTGGACATCAATGATTTCATCCACATATGGTTGAATTATTTGTGGCAGTTCTTCCACGTAAGGATGTTGAGCTGGTGGGTTAGGTGGTGGGCCAAGATATTTATTGGCTGCCTGGTGGTGATTGTATGGCGTTCAGTGATTGGGTAATTTTTTGGGGGGATAGGTGGTTTTCTTTGGGCACGTTTGGGTCCATAAGGGGTTTTTTGTCCCCTCTAACAGCAAAATGGTGGGTGGCCTTTTCTTGGGTCTTGGTTGCTTGAATAGGCCTCTTGTCTGTCATCTGGCTCGCCTGGATGTGATGTATTGGCCCTTGGGGTTTGGGGACCCAGGTATGTAGGTGTGTTCTTGGGATTTGGGCTACTTGGATGGTTGCTGTTATGGGTGTTCTGGGGAGAGCAGGTGAGGGATCTTCTGGGTTTCGAGTCTTGATGGTAGATTGCAAGATGAGGAATGTGCAAGGTGTGGATCTCAAACGAACTCCAAGTTCGAAGTTCGTGACATGTGCGTACCAGGCTCTCTACATATGTATTATCCCCAGTTCCAGTCCTCCTCCACAGCTCATAACAGTTGCTGCGTCTGTCCTGTGGATTGTTCATCCTGGTGAAACTCTTGCACAAAGATGATGTGCTCATCTTTCTGGGTCCCTCTGTGTAATTTTGGTCTGATGTTCTTTTTTTGGATGCAATGCCAAATGCCATTACTTGCATGGACTCTGACATGCTCATTCTCCTTGTGCCTGGGCATATTTGGCCCTGATGGGCATGAGTCATTGTGGGTCTAATCTGTGTGGGTGGGGCTTGGTTCCAGTGGCTGGGGTAACCTTGGGTGGGATATCCACCATCATGTGGGTTTTTGCAGGGGATGCCTGATGTATGTAGTGTTTCATGTGGGGCCTGTGGTTGGTGGAAAAATTCAGGGTTGAATGTGGCGGGATTTGGATAATGCACATTTGTGTTCCAGGTGTCTTGGTACATGTATTGGGAGGGGGCCTGCATGGGATATCCTGCTGTCTGGAGGGGTGTACTGAGTGTGGTATATGCTTTTGGGGTTTGGGATTGGGCCAGTTGATGGGGGGCTGAGCTGGTGGTGGGTGTCAGGGCATTGATATAGTGGTGACTGCTGGGATTAGTGCTTGTGGTATAGGTTTCTTGGTACATGTTTTGGGTGGCGGCCTGCATGGGATATCCAGCTGTCTGGAGGGGTGTACTGGGTGTGGTATATGATTTTGTGGTTTGTGATTGGGCCAGTTTATGGGGGGCTGAGCTGGTGGTGGGTGTCAGGGTATACAGATAGTGGTTATTGGTGGGATTGATGTTTGTGGTAATGATGGTTGGTTTTTCACTACATATACTTGAACTTCTTGAATTTTGGTTGAGTCCAGGATGTCTGGGGTTTGGTGAATATTCAAGATGTGCTGTTCTTTTGGTATGTTCCTGATTTGATGGGTGAATAATACTGTGTGAAGAGGTTGGGTCTCCATAATTTCTGGTTCCACTTGTCAAAATGGGATCCACATTTATTAAGGAAGGTTGTGTGATTGTGATTGGTTGAATGGGCTGTAGGGGGGTGGTATTTGGGGTGCCTGCTGTGGTTATGGGTGGGCCATCTTTCTGCCATATGATCATGCCCTTGGTGATGGCTTCATCCCACATGGCCTGAGAAATAGGCCTCCGGGGTAACATTGAATGATTGCGGTGTCCCTGGATTGATCGTAGGGAGCAAGCATTGAGAATATAACTGTTTGTTGGGGTGTGGCCTATGGTTTTTTTTGTTGTTGTGCCCTCTTGTTTGCCTTCTCTTTTAAGTGTTTGGGTGATGACCTTGCATAGCCCTTCAATACAATTGTGCTGCATGTTCAGGCAGCATATTACATTCTGCATACAGATTCAGTGTCAGGTTTACCCATTAGTTTGACTTGTGTTAGACAATTTGGTTTGCCAAAACTTAATCGGTTGTTGACTCACTTGGGCTGTAGCATACATTAAGTTATTAGTGGCCACATACTCCTGCATTAGGTATGTGCCATTCAATCCAACCGGTTTGTATTCTTGTACTGGACTGTGAATTGGCTTGCCATACTTTTGATACTTCAGCAACGTAGGGGGATATGTCTTGTCTTTTGATCTATTTGCACCATTTTCAGATTATATGATGTGGGGATCCTTGGGATTTGGGAAATGGTTACTCACCAATACAAAAATCCCCCGATGGACTGAGTTGTATTTACTTGTTTTGATGGTTCTGATTAATTTCCACTTGGCTGTTGGGTACACATTCTTCAGATGGGTTGGAATTGGTGTTTTATCCATCATTTGATCAGGTACTTCTCCTTTGATAACAATTGGGTAAATTGGTTTGGATGACATGTCTATGCCCATGAGCTTTTGTATGCCTTTAACCTCTGTGACATGTAATGATGGTTGGAAATGGTGCATGTTCCTATGATCATAGAGGTATGCACCAGATAAAATTAGTCTCATGGCTTGGTAATTTTCAAATGTGATGGCTATATCTTGGCCTGGGCTTTGTTGGTTGGAGTGGATGGAGGCGTTGCGAAGAATTCCATTGAACGACTCAAATTTTTCTGAGGCAAACAAACATGCTGGCCCAAACCGTCTGATTGCATCTGGAAGATGGGTCAGCATATGGAATTTGGGCTTATTCACCCATTGTGCTGTCATGCGCAACACATGGTATAAAAACACATAAATGTGATGCATGAGATCAGCAATATATTGCTCCATGTCTTCTATTTTTGTCTGGTACACATAAGTACACAATAGACACAGGGCGCTCCATAACTCCTTCTGTTCTTGAGTCATAAATGGGAAAAAGACAAACGGGGCGGCCTGAATGACTTTTTTTGTGTGTTTGCCTATGAAGCTCTTGTAGTGGTTGACCATGAACAAAGCCTGAAGTGGTGGGATTTTCAGAGAATCAGTGTTGAATGCCCTCCAATGTGCCTCTAATGTTCTTTTGTTCCCATCAGTGAGACCGGACATGAAGTCACGCAGCAGGTATCTGATGATCCCAAGTTGGAACACATGTAATATTTCCACAGGAGTGTCTTTGGCCCCATCAAAACCTACAGAGACAATTAAAATATATCAGTTTCACTGTATCCACTTGATGGCATGAGGGCTACATACTCACCTTCTAAATTAAGGAAAGGACTGAATAGTCTGTGAAATGTATCCTTTTCAATCTCGTTGATTGCCTCCTTCTGACCGGGTTTGTTTCTCTGGTGGTACTTCTCCACAGGAATATTCCACATTTATGTTGTCCTTTAAGCCAAATTTTTTGGTTTCCTCATCGTAACTGGTCTTGGCCTTATTTTTGGAGTCCCTCCAGGCTTGGTGCAAGCGGGTTTTGGTTTCTTCCCAATTCCTAGGTCGGGGCTGGTCAGATTTGTCCATGGATAAATTAAATATGGTTGAACACAATAATTTTACATACCTGGCGCAATCCATCAGATAACCCCATGAAGTCTGTCACATAGCCTTTCAGGGATTTGTCAACCTTCTTGGCAACAAACAACAGACAAACCCGACAAGGGCTGTTGGCATTTGCTGGGAGGGAGGTGCTTGTAATCTCCGCATGCATGGGAGATTCTGCAATGAAAGCCATGATAACACTCATGATGAGTACATCCTGCTTGAGGAGGCTATCATAAGCAAAATGCCCATCTGTGGCCAAATCGCTGAAGGAAATAAACAGATTAGGATACACTAAGCGGGGTGTGAAAATGTAATGTCACCAGATGACTCACTTCATCTCTGCTACTATGGGCTCTGCCAATTGTTAGAGTAGTGGCAGAAGACTTAGGAAGAACAAGATTACATAAACTAGTATATAATCCTGTCGGCACCAGTCCCAGCTCCTTTTTCTCCTTCCTCACCGAGATTGGAGCCCGGGATTCTACGTGCTGGTAGCTAACCGCAACGGGACTGTTTTGTCCAGGTTAGTATCTTCATTTCTTATGTTTATGCAATCAATACCAAGATTGGAGCCCGGGATTCTACGTGCCGGTAGTTAACCGCGAAGGGACTGTTTTGTCCAGATCTCATTTGCCTCTGTTCATCTTACACCAATTCAAGCACTCCAGCCCCATTGGAGGTACCCAGGAAGTGACAATGGTATTCCTGATTAGTCAGGTGTGGATGGAGACCAGCTAAGGTGAAATAGAATGAGATATGCTTGTTCCATTGCTTGGAACTATTACCCGATGTATCATCTGAGTAAAGAGTAATGGGGACATGTTGGATGATTTTCCCCTGTGCCTTCTTCCTCCATGGATTGGGAAGTGCAATTTCCAATTCCTGACCATTTTGATCTTCTACAGAGTCCAGACAAATGTCATGGCAGTGTCAGACCATCAGCAGTCTTATATCAGGCAATTAATAGTTGTGAATCATTGGCTCACCAAACATCTTGCCTCCACACTTGTCTGCCAAACTTGAATGGTTATCAAGATACAATTCAGAGTACATTTCATCAAATTCTTGGATATCAACAGTGGTGAGCAAACGGTCACTGAATTTGATGTCATCTGGGATGACAATTTTGAGACCCTTCCCAGACTCTGTGGCCTTGTATTGGGGCATACAGCATTTAGCATAAAGCAATCTGTTTGCCTTGAAAAAGAAAGTAGGTATAACAACCTCTCCAGATTTTAGATGTGTTGGTTCAAAGATGTAGTAATGCTTGTTTTCAATGTATACCATCTGGACCCTGAGGTCCCTTGACAGATCTTCTCGCCACTTGAAACATTGATAAAGGCTGTCAATTTGAGTCCCGGTCGGATCATGTGGATAGAACTCCAAGTGCCTGGTGACCTGTGGGTTACGCAATTCCTATTAACACAAGCAGAAATCCCCAAAATGAGTATCAACCCAGATGAAACATAATAGGACACCTGAAATAACTACAAATGCATACATTAGACAATATCCTCTTCAGGCTAAAGGTGAACAACTTGTTATCCCAAACACTGAGACTTTCAATGGTGGTCAAGTCAAGCATTCTTCAAATCCTCTCACTGGTCCGCCTGACTGTGTCCCAATGAGGGAGGAATAAATTCTTCAATGCCAGTACCAACCTCAGGAGGAGGTATGTCACGCGGGAGAGCATGTTACGCAGATATCCACACATGAGGCACGCCATGAAATCCTACAAGTTCAAAATGCAAGCTCTCATGTCAATAACACTGAAGGACCATATCAGGTCAGCCGTAAGAAATCATTACCTCCTGACTGTTAAATGGCTCCCAGTCATTCCGCAATGATCTTGATGTTTGCGCCCCTGCCGCTGTTGTATCAAGAATATCCTCATCCCCAAATAGCTCCCACGTTCGAAAATCATCTGAATAGTCAGATGGGGCCTCTTCAATTACCGAAGAGTCCGAGCCAAAGCCCAAATCTTCCCCATCTCTGATTGGGGTTTCCTCCTCTGATGGCCCCTGGGGCATTTCCTCTGGAAGATCAAAAGTGAGACCTGGATCCCCACCCTTTTCCATATCATAACTTCTAGGGTGATCATGACCCCTTGGGGCGGGTTGATTAGTGTTTGCGCCCAATGTATGGGAAACCTGTTCAGGGGGCGGTGTAGTGTGCCAATTGTGTTTCAAGTATCAAATTGCATAAAGTCACAGTCCAATATGTAGAAGGGCATATATCCTTAGGCGTATTATGGCTTAATCACATTCTATGGGTCATTTAACCCATAGTCACTCACTAGAACCACTAGGCTAGCTCCACTCAGTCAAAAGTTATTTGGGATTTAAATTTTATTTGCATACAAAATGCTTATTGCATAATGTAAACCACAAGTTGGCCTTAGTTTTTTTACATATTCAATATTCATTGCATAGGGTAACCACAAGTTAGCCACATTGTTTGTAGGTACACTGAGAATCTTGTATAGGGCTAGAACCACAAGTTGGCCATTTATAGATTATAGGTTAGGGCTAGAACCACAAGTCAGCCGAGTTGTAAAATAGACTATTTAAGGAGGGGTTTTCCCCCCTCATTCCAATTTTTCATCATCTCATCACAACAGATCATCAACCAGACAGAACAGAGCAATCAATCCATACATTAACCAGTGTGATCTTAATCAAGTGCCCCATTGAGATCATTCAGACATTGAGAAGCATAGGAAAAAGAAAGTAGCAACCAGTACAACTTGTGATCTTAAACAAGAGACAGTGATCTTAAACCATTGTGCTCTGGACCACGATTCAAGGAGGAAGGGAAAAACACTTTCAATAGTCACATTTTTTCCTCAATATCATCTCATAAATTCACATTCATCATCAGTACATACGTCAATCATTTTTCAAAATACATAAACATATAAACAAAAACATCTCTTACTCAACATTTCCACTCAAATAGTCTGCTGAATCCACGTTGATCTAGGTTTGATAAGAGACTGCTACACATAGTTTTCTCTATCATCAGTTTTGCCACAACAATAAATAAATTGTTGTGTTAACTCTAGTGTAGTACAATAGAGGGGCAGGTCTTTCAAACCAGCCGTAACAGTTGTAGTAGATCATTACATATGTGATATATCTCATCTGCTATTTCCCCCTCACAGGACTGCCACCATTCCCAAAGGAGTTCTCACAGCGGGTGGCAGACAATTTGAGTGTTACATTCCTTGCAACAGAATTAAATGACCCTTACCTCCTTCTGAGTCAGATTTTCCACAATAGCAAAGTATCTCTTCACTGCTTCCTTGTGAGAAGGCAGGCTCACATGGTCAGAAACGTATTTCATTTTGTGCCCTAGACAGTACTGGCATTGGTATCTGGTCCCATGAGCATCCAAAATCCTTGAGAAACCTTTCAGTTGACAACACAATGTCAGCATCAAATATCATTGCACTTGAGTAAAAGCCCTACCTACCTGGTATATCAGCCATTAAGAAATCAAGAGTGTGAATTAGACTTGCACCTGCTGAGTTGATGGGATAATAAGAAGAAAGATAAATATAAAAACCACTCATGGAAGAAGTGAAATTGAAATCAATATTGCATCAGTAATCAACACCATTGGACACATTATGGCACGGACAAGTATCCAAATGCCATCAAACATACCCAAAAAACCAAAGGGGCAACTTTTATAACCCAGCAAACAATGAAAATATATCAAAACCAATGCTCCAGAACCCAGTTGCAGACCAGACCTCAAAGGGAGAGGGACAAGTGGTAGAAATTAGAAAACAGGGATAATTTGGTGTCTAAGTAAAGGATTCAGTCTAAGTAAATTAATAAAGGTATTCGGAATGATTTATAGCCCAAGGTAATGAAAGGGTTTAAGATGTTAAGTTAACCAATTGTATCCTAAGTTTATGCAGCCAGTAAGTTTAAGAAATATAAGTGATTATAATTAACACATGCAAATTTTGAATTGATAATGATGAGGAAAGTTGACGCACTCCACATGTGGCCAAAGGATCAGATTTACGGACAGATCAGTGAGGAGATGGATTGGACTCATGATGGGGAACCATCAAGAGCATGTCTTAATAAAGCCTTTGTGCACACTAAGCAGGCGATCCACGTTAGATAGATGTGGGCCGCCAAATATGCAAGGGCGTGCGGTGCGGATCTGTCGATATCACACATGGCAATTTCAAATAGCAGTGCCAGACCGGAAAAAAACCCTTCACTGGTCGGTCTTGCTTGTCTCATCCACCATCAAACACCAACCAACAAGAACTCGCCCAAACCATTCCTCCACCCATCCCAAACGCATAAGAGGCTCCCCTTGTCCACCCACCAAGTGAGTCAGCCAAGTCATTTTGCCACATCTGATACCGACCCCCCCCCTCGCAGCCCATCAAACATCACCAATCCATACAAACAATAGCTGTGATTTAATCTTTGAAACATGTCCGCAGGAACCAATACGACCACCAACATTATACCCCGCTTCCGAGCCCGCGGGGTCCAATCCCAAGGTCCTTCAGACAAGTTACACTATCAAGACATAGAAAATGTCGCCCAACCCATCTCATGTTGAGTGTTTTCGGGTGTAGCCTCAAGCCCCACACATGCAAAACGCCAGGCGCGCCCGACAACAGGCCAACCGATCCAATAAAAAAAGCAGTGAACCAATGATCTATCCTGACCTCGATGCTGAGGCGCGCAACATGACCAGACCCCCAGGTCAGCGAAGAAGACAGTGACCCCCCCAGCCCTCCCCATTACAATCATGACGAGAGTTCGGGCAAAGAAGTCGAAACGCCGGATGAGGCACCCGTTCTACCGGATGCCCCACTACAAACAGTCCGTTGCCCAGGCACAATACCTGGCCTAGGCGAACTTGCTAACGGCCTAGAGGGTCTTCAAAAAACCCGAGGCATATCTGAATCTGATCTTCAATCTATTTGACATTGGGCCGTGGTAAGTCAATTGGATCCATCTGAAACCTGGCAGTACTAACCTCACCCACTTCACCAGCTTCCCCAAGAGGACCAATGGATGACCACAGAAATGTACCTCCAATCCATCAATAGGAGAATCGACCAACTTGGTGGGCAAACCCAATTGGCCTTACCAGCTCCCAATATACCCTGCGGCCACATTTGGCACAAACAATTCAGGGTAAGCTTCAAGTTATCCTCCCCCAGCCTCCTTAATCTTACTGAACCACTGAGACAGACCTTCATTCGCAACCAAATACAAGAAAAACTCCTTCAAATCAACTTGCAGAGTTACGGCCGCACCAACACTGTTGCGACCCACTCACTGATTCCCAGAACCCCCCTTTTATTAGTCAAGGTAAGATCACTTTTTATCCCTAACCGAGTGATAACTGACTCAGAGGTGCAATCCTGACTGTACATCAGGGTGCGATTGATCAAATGGACAATGATTGGAAGGCCGCGTTCCTCCCGGCTGGTTACCTTGACAACAACCATGACGACCTAGTACTTGTCAACAACCTCATCCGAGAGCTGCTCAAATATGAGAAAATTGATTTGGCCAAACTCGTAAGTGTTGATTGATCTCGCTGTCATTACCACCACTTCAAGTATGTTAACCGTCAAACTCCCCATGTAGATCATGTTGGGGGCAAGGAAAGGACGCCAAACAAAAACAGATGCCGTGCCAAGCCTTGACAGACTTGTTATTCAAGTGAGTCCATCCTGAGTAAGCTGTCTTCCCCTGCCCCCAATACTTACCTTGTCGATATGGGAAGCAGATATTGCAAACTCTGTCACCTGTGCATGCAATGATGGGCTGCGCGGAGCTCACTTGATCTATCAAGAGCCCCATGAGGGTCCGAACTGGATTCCTGCTCCTTCACATGTACATACAAAGGCAACAGGACCGCACTACCTCCAAAGTGAAATCACCTTGGGAAGGGATTGATCGCCACCTCGAGATATTGCAAAGCAAATCCCAAGACTACAAAGTGGCGTAAGTGGACTTCCTATTTATTCAATTGCAGTTTGGTCGGCTCATTTTGAGGTACAACAAGCAACTCTTCAACGGGATCAAGACCGCCACCGACATCGCCGGCGTTGAGGTATCTCTCCCCTCTGAAGAGGAGGTGCAAGAGATGTTGATATCCGGAGCCCAGGCTATATCCAAAGAGGAAAATGAGGCAGACGGGGACCTCTTCTAACTCTACCCAATCCATCTGATTCCCACATGTCAATGTCAGGTTAAGAATAGCTTTACATCTCCAGCAGAGCAATAATCACTTGTGGAAAAGTTTGCCTGTCTCCGACCAATCTGTCACAAAGAAAAATTTATTACTGTTTTGTTTCTTGTTTTTTTACTGTTATTTCTCTTGTGGTTACATCGATTGGTTGTATATCCCATATCTCTCCTTGACTCTCATGGCCACTGGATTCGCAATGTAGCAGTGGCTACCCTGTGGGTAGCCACTTTCTACATGACCAACCCTGACCGAGCGGTCCCGAGCTCCGACCGGCATATGCCGACCAGCAATTGGGAGGCGCCCAATGTTCACATCGGGAGCCACGTGATTACCACGTCATAAGCCAGCCGCTGTGAATATTACCAGTCAGCCAAAATGGAAGCCACTAGGGAGGCTTCGGTGGCTCAGACGAGGAACCTGGGACACGTGTGCAAAACCAGTGCTCCTTGTGGAGCCCACGTTTCCTCGCTGAGACACGTGGAGGCCTCGGCACATCCTTGGGATGCAGCCGTGGACCAATCCGTGGAGCCCACTGAATCCTGTGGACTGGCGGGTCCTGGTCCAACCTCTCGCAGTGGCCGCTCGTGGGCTCCCCGTGGAAAACCGGTGTTGGTCCACGTGGGTGTGCACCCTAGGTGTAGAGGTTGCTTGTCTGGTGGCTGAAGTATTTGCATAACCTGGGGCACTGGCTTGGTGATATGTTTTTGTTGCACTGTGTGTTGTAGTATTCTTGGACCCAGCTGGGAAGTTGGCTGAATTCTGAGAATCAAGGTCATTCAGGTCAATTTGATGCTCATGCTGTTGAACAGTAGCTGACTGAAAATGGGAGGAATCAGAGATCATCTGCCAGCCAAATTTGTAAGGGGGAAAAGAACTCACATCATGGTGATTGTTTGGAGTAGCCTGGAATTGGTGAGGCTGCTGCCAAGGAGGGCCTTTGTGAAGTTGCTGATTTTGTAATACATGAGCCTGTTGGGGGCGACACTGCTCACTCTGGACTGGTGGATGCTTCTGGGGATAGATGTTGTGGCTCTGCTGAGTTGGCAATTCACACTTCTGCTAAGGAAGGACTTTGCAATCCACGGCCCTGCTGGGGGCAATGCTTCTGAGTCTGGACTTGAGGATTCTGCTGGGAATGGACCTCATGGCACTGCTGAGTTGGAAAACCAAAATTGTGCTGAAGAGTGACTTCTCAAAGCTGTTTAGTTTGCATTACATGAGCCTGATGAGGGCTTCACTGCTGAGGCTGGGGATGGACCTCACGGCGCTGCTGAGTCTGTACTGGGAGATGCTGCTGGTGAAGAACCTCATTGTGCTGCTGAGTCTGGACTTGGGGATGATTATGAGAATGAACCTCACAGCGCTGTTGAGTCTGGACTTGGGGATGATTATGAGGATGAACCTCACAGCGCTGTTGAGTTTGGATTTCTTGATACTGCTGGGTATGTAGTTGCTGCTGGGGAAGGTGGTCTGCCCAACTTTCACTGCAAGCAGGCAAAGGTGTCGTTTGTGATATGTCTGGTGTAGATGTTGGGGGGTGGATCCTTGAATCAAAGTTGTGCTGTCGGGTGGTGTATTGAGCAGGGTATTCTGTGATTTCATGAGCAAAGGGTTTGGAGTTTCTTGATATGCAGGTTATTGTCCTCCCCTTAGGCTTGCTTGATCAAGGTTTTGAGGTGAAGGGTTCCAAGCAGCTGGTAAGTCATCACTATCAAGTTGAGCTCAATTGGAACGATCAGAGGAAGTACGGTGTGGTGTGCTGTGCCTGTGATAGTTACACACAATTAACACATTTATAACGTAGGATTTGTGTGTTGTGACCGAATATGGATTTATTCACATATTTATAGTTTCTCATGGAGTTAGATTTATTTTTCTCACACTTGCATTATTTTATAGTCTATTATGTTTTTATTACTCATCAAACCGACTATGTGTTTCCAGAATCATATATATAGTTACTAATGATCAAGAAATAAACCTTTCCCTTGGGGGAGTTTTCCACTTTCATTCTCATTTCAGGATTCATAGCTCTACATTGTGGACAGACAAAAACAGGATATGGTATACATATGTAGGGGTGGTGGGTGTGTAGGTAGGTTATTGAATATGGTTTTATTTGTTGTGCTGGTATGAAAGAACAAAAGACAGTGGAAGAGGAGGGGAGAAGGAAGGTAGGCGGAGAGGCTTTGACCCTGAAGAATGAGCAACAAAGGAAGTAAGCAAGTGTTTCATCTGTTGCTTCATCTGTTGAGATGAAACACAGAACATTTGGAATGTGGATTTGGTTTCCAAGTCACAGATTCCATAAGACTGTATACTGTACTGGATTACTGCTTTGGAATGTTTCAGCACATGCTACATGGCTTGGTTTCATAGCAAAGAATGACATCATGCTGTGCTATTGGGTGTTACGTGCAGCAGGAAAAGATTCCTTGAGGGGTAAATAAATTGCAAATAGGTTGAAAGGCTATCACAACTTACGGGTGGTTTGAAAGACCCCTCTCAATGATGTACTAAAACAATAACTAAGAGTCTTGTAATCAATATTTAATAATGTATGGCTGATTCCAAGATAGATCTCACTTTTGTAAAGTAATCTCTATCAGACCTAGATCACGTATCAATCTACTAATGAATCTGTTACAACTTCAGTTTAATAATGGATACTGTGGTGCTGATGGCTTGAGCAAAAAACAGATGAGTTGTTATTGAGTTTGTTCATGATCTCTTCCTTGAACAATTTATTGCTAAGGCACTTTAATCAAAAACTAGAGCTCCGGTGTTAATACTACTACTACTTGTTATTTTTAGGGACTTGGAAAAACGACTCCCGTTTTTTCGCCAACCACTCCCAACAACCGTCAGCGGACGTCCGTTGGGAGTCGTCTTCTAAAGTGTGGGCGGATTCTGGGAGTTGTCCGCCCAATTTCATTTTCATTTTTTATTTTATTTTTTTTGGGAGTCGACTCCCCAAACCACCCCTCATGTATGAGGGGGTTTGGGAGTCGCTCCCACTTGACCGGAAGGAACCCCTTCCAGTCAGCGGGAGGCTGAACCTCATCAACCGGAAGGGATTCCTTCCGGTAACAGATTCATAAGTCGATCGATACGTGGATTAGGGATCCCCTTCGAGTTGAAGAAGAAAGTTTACCTTCATGGACGGGAAGTAATCCCTTCCAGTCGATGAGGTTGGCGTGTTTGCAGCAAGGGCTTCATTGACCAGAAGGACTCTCTGCCGGTCAATGAGGAAGCTAAACCTCATTGACTGGAAGGGATCCCTTCTGGTCGATGAGGTTTAGCTTCCTCACTGACTGGAAGGGGTTCCTTCCGGTCAAGTGGGAGGGAGCGACTCCCAAACCCCCTCATACATGAGGGGTGGTTTGGGGAGTTGAATCCCAAAAAAAATAATAAAAAAATGAAAAAAATGAAAATGAAATTGGGCAGACAACTCCCAGAATCCGCCCACAATTTAGAAGAGGACTCCCAACGGAAGTCCGCTAACGGTTCTTGGGAGTTGTTGGCAAAAAAAGGGAGTCATTTTTCCGAGTCCCTATTTTTAATTGTTAATAATACTACTTATGTTCACTTGTTATTTTTCAATGTTTCTGGTTCTACTACTTATAGATCTCTGACTTTAATTAACTAATTCTCTGACAATTACACTACTAACTAACTAATTGTGACCAACATACCTCAGCAGGTTAATGGGGAAAAAAAGAATTCCTGGTGGAGAGAGGCCCTCCTTTTATATTGAAGAGTGAGGGATTTCTGCTGCAGGGGACTCCTTGTGAGACATTTTTGCTGCACGTAACACCCACTAGCACAGCATGATGTCATAGGTTCCTATGAAACCAAGCCGTGTAGCATGTGCTGAAACATTCCAAAGCAGTAATCCAAGACAGTATACAGTCTTATGAGATATGTTACTCAGAAACCAAATCCACATTCCAAATGATCTGCGTTTCATCTGAACAGATGAAGCAACAGATGAAACATCAAATGAAACACTCACTCACTTTGTTCCTTGTTCATTTTTCAGGGTCAAAGCCTCTCCACCTACCTTCCATCTCCCCTCCTCATCAACTGCCTTATGTTCTTTTCCACTGATAACACAATAGATAAACTCATGTTACATAACCTACCCACACACACACCACATCTACATATGTATACCGTATCCTGTTGTTGTATGTCCTATGTAATGAATGTTCCTCCTCTTGTAATGAATGTCCATTGTGTGTCACTATCACCTTCTGTATGCTTTTGGCATTGGAACAGGCACAGCACACCACACCACTCCATCTTAGCCCCTCCGCAGTATATGCTAACCCCGGTCCGCAGTTGGACATGAACCCCAAAGTCCGCCAGTGCCCGGATCTCCTGCAGTAAGATTTTGGAACCTTGTGCATTTGGCCTGCTTTTCCCACTCTTTCCCACACCTCAGAAAGCTAGACTTTCTACTTATGCGCCCCCACCTTCCTCAGCCTGCGCATGTAGCGTCAGCTCCACATGCTTTCTTCGTTTGCCGCGTGCATTCCGCATCTGGACAAAGCTTTGGCCCCAGCGCACTCTCACCACCACAGCTTTCAGGGGGGGATCAAATTTGACACTAAGCGTGTTAGCCTGCTACTAATAAGAGCCAGCCTGAACGTAGCACTCATTTATAATTAGAGATATTATTACTCATATATGTACATACAATTAAAATAATAAAATATACTATTTAAATAAGTGGAATTAATATAATAGAGACATTATTACACAGCATACTTATATCGTAATATTTATTGATAAAAACATTTAAATAATTAAATAAATAAAAAAGAATAACACTTTTAAACCAGAATCTCCTAATAACTTCTGAACCTTAAGTATAACTCAGAATACTATTGCAGATTCTGAATCTACATTCAAAATAACCTAGGGTAGCTCACCAATTGTACCCCTTAATTATTACTCCTTCACTTACTTTGTAACCTTTGAGTGATATTGGACCAAAATACACTGTAGACCCCTCCAGTTACATCATACTAAATGTGTAATTAAGGTTCATGCAGTTCAGGAAAAATATACAAAAAAGGTTTAAATCATTGAAACCTTAACTACATGAGCACAGACTACAGTATAAAATTGTTTGGGATGATCTGTGGCCCTTTTTGGCCCAGTTGGGACAATTACTCTCTTGAGGATCAAACCATGCATCATGCAGTGCTTAAATAGGCTACAGGAGTGTTACAGTTTCATCAGAACACCCTGTAAACATGGTTACAAGCATTACATCATCTCCTTGACACCTGTAACCAAGCTCTACAGGTGCTACAGATGATCAAAAGCTCCCATAGGCTTAGTAGGAGAGTTGTAGCAACTAGAGAGACTCCTGAGTTTGCCTGCAGAGGCCCAGAATGAGTATTTAAGAGCCCCTTCTTCCCCCTGAACTTGTTTCCCCATCTTCATCAGTACATACCAGCATAAACCGTCACCAACATCCAGTTTCCACCTGCCTTTTGGCCCTGTTCCTGCTGTTATCAACCTGAATTTCCATCAACCATCCAACACCTGTTCCCCAGAACTCTTCCAACATCTCTCACCCACATTTCTGAGCGCTTCAAAAAGAGCCCCCCCCCCCTCCTGAAGACCTCCTTGGCCTAGAGATAAGTATCAGTAAGTGTTATCTCTTTGTACCTTCAGTTGTAGACTTTTTCTGGGTTTACTCATTTATTATAAAGGACCAGAACTTCAGTACCACCCCCGCAACTCAGGACCTGAAATAGAGGGCACAGTCAAAAACCCCTGTAACTCAGGGCCCTCTGTAAAAAAAAATTAATAGTTTTTATTTACTTTTTCTTTTATTACCAAACCTCCCCCACTTTTCATGTGTCACCCACACGTGTATACATCTTATTATACCTTTGCACCTAGTGTAGCTAGAGGAGTTTTGGCTCTTGGAATCACTGAGGCTGAAAAAGCGGGCTTCTATTGTTAGCCATTTTTGGATTGCTACTGCACCTTTGAACACTTCTCCTATTGACCTCAACAACTATAATCATGCCCAGATCTTTGAATTGTCTGTTAACCTGTTCTTGAGATCTGAAAAAAGTAGCCCCTGTTATTTTTGTGCAGAACATTTCTGATCAGTTCAACAATCCAATTTTTCCAAACAAGAAAAAAAATACAAGACTGAACATAGAAAGTTGTCATGACCTATAAGAAAATACAACACCTCCAAACTCTCAGTGCCCAAGCCAACATACAAATAAGGGGAAAGAAAAGAAAAGAGAGACAAACAGTTTGTTAGACCACTTTGCGTTTGATATGCCCTTTAAGCGCCTTAGCGATATCGTGACCATTAGTGGTGTTGAAGTCAAGGAGTTTTGAAACCTTGATGGCAACCTTCAAGTAGACGTCTCCGGGCTTCTTGCCTGGGACAAGGTTTCCCTCTTTCCCACCATTGATGTTGCCACCCAAGGCAACATAATTTTGCAGTCCATTGCTCAAGCTTTCTTGGTGAACCGGCAGGCTTGACCATTAGGCCGTCGGATCTGGGTTCCACCATTAGCTCCATACATCCCGCTAATGTTTGCCACGGATCTTCTGACTCTAACCAGCATTTTTTTTCCTCCATTTGTTTCACTTCAATCTTTGTACTCTCTCCTCACAAGAAAGAAGAAAAAAAAAGAAAAAAAGCTTTCATGGGCTGACCTCTAATGGTTGATCTGCAGAATCAATGACCAACTCCAATTGCTCCTCAATAAACTTTGCCCAATCATCCAAGCTAGCCTTATTATTCCCATAATTATTCGAGAGATTGATCTTCAACCATTGCAAACCATCCTTGCCTAGCTCTTTCTTTTCCACAAAATTCAATAATCCCCAACAAATATTGTCTCCTATTTGGTTCAAGTTTTCTGGAATCGGAACCACTTGGCCTTGGAGGTTAATGTTGTATGGAAAGTAAAATGTCTCATTTAAATGCTAAAATCAATCCTTTCGTTATTTTTTTTCTTCTTTTTTTTGTGAAAGGGAAGAAACTAACAGCTCTAGCAATTTCTAATTGATAATTGACCAAACAAAATTTTCCATAAGCGGACCTTCTACTGGCCAACTAGCTTCTGTAGATATCTTTTTTCTCATCTGCAGATCTAGGATTTTGGAGTTGAGAAGAAGAAGATTGATTCTGGAGTTAATCAAGATGCTTTTCATCAGAGGCAGGAGTAGTGGAAGAAGGAGAAGGGAAGAATCTGATCAGGTTTGAGGTTAAGATGAGGATCTCAGATAGGGATTCCAGCGAGTTGGATGCCCTGATTCCAGACGGTGGACATAGTATTGAAGAAGGGACAATTGATATTTCAGGGAGTATTACCAAGCTTTTCAAGGGCCTTATAGAATTTCTCGAGGCCATGGAACCAATGGGCTTGTTTGGGCAGGTCACGGGTCCGCATCAGCGGCAACCCGTGCACCAGATAGGCCCCGTTCTTTGGGTGCGTCTACCTTGGAAGGTACCACAGATGTAAGCTCACATTTTCCGGGTCCAAGTCTAGCCTTTCCGCTACCACTTTGTTCATCTTTGTCACACCAGTCCATCAAAGTATTGTGTCATTTGGTAAAACACTGGTTGGACTTCCCCACTAAACATATATACATGTACAAGAAAAAAAAACATCAGTCACATGGAAAAAGGGGTTGTATTGGTTACAACCCCCCGCGATAACGTCGCCCCGAGGCGACCGATATAACATTGGTCTCCTTGACCGATTTATATCGGCCAGGCCCACCGATACATGTTTCCTTTGTTGTAATGTATTGGTGGGCCCGACCAATATAAATTGGTCAATCAGACCGATCTTATATTGGTCGCCTCCGGGCGACCTTATCGCGGGGGGTTGTAACCGACACAACCCCTTTCGAAGTGTCAATCATTTTTTGTCTTGAAGAAGAAAAGATTCAAGACTGACTAGACTGATCCATCTTCAAGTACAGTACTTCTTGTAATCTTTGAAGTTTCCAGCAAGCATGTGTGAGCCACACATGACCAAAGCGCCAACTTTTGAGCGTTTTTGGATCTTCAAATCAAATTTATCATCATGAATAGCTTTCAAATTGGCCTGATAGTTCTTGAGTTCTGATTTCCAGATTTTGCGGAAGGTATGGTCAACGGAGCAACTAGCAGTTGCGTCAGGGGTTTTGAAGACAGCTTTGAGACCTCTGGAAAGGTGTAGAAAATCTGTATCATACCCTCCATTCTTCCACTCACATGAGGTTAAAATACATTTAATTCATTTTGATTCCTGCTGATCTGTGGGATCACTTGAGGAAATGAAAAATTTGTCATCAAGCCTCAAGACTTGAGAAATGGTACACTGACCTTTTTTTCAGAGCTGTTAGGGCAGGGTTTTTTTTACAAAGAGCTGAATGGAGATAACCTGTGGTGGAAAGCAGAAGGCTGTTACCACCTTTTGAGGATCAATGGGCTGGGAGAAGGTGTATTGGGTACAAGCAGATTTGCTCCCTAAATAGCCCCAAAGTTCAAAGCGTGTATCTGAGGCTCTTTTTGTATTTATATGCTTCTTATGGGAACTCTGATTTTGTGTTGGTGGAAATCAACAGTGAAGCCTGCCATGCCACAGCCAGTCACTTGCGTTGTGAAATCTGGCTAATTCTCCACTGCAATATGACAAGTCAGCTAGGCTGGCAGGGCAAGTCAGTGCAATGTCATAAATCAAAGGATTAAAATATTTGTGGATAAAATGATGAGGAACAAGACTTGTGGAACAACAAAGATGATGAAATTGCATGTATGCAGGCTACTCTAGACTATGTACAGTGGGTGGACCGTTATTTTTGGCTGCTTGTTTTGGATTCCAGAGCTTCAAAGCACAAACTTGAAGTCACAAGAATTGGTGAAGTGGTGCAGAATAGGTCCCAAAGAATGAATATGAAAAAATAAAAACAAAAACAAAGTTTCAAAATTTGTGAAAAATAAAAAATAAAATTTATTTTTTCTCAAAAGCTTTGAAATTCATTTTGGGGGAGTGAGAGTGCTGGAAGAAAGAAAGAATTTCCAATGGGAAGAATGATTATAAATGAAAATTCTAAAAAAAATGGTTACCAGTTGGTTTTAAACAGCTGTTGAGTAGGGCATTCACCAGCTCACATTGTAGTAAAGCACTAGAATTTACTGTTTTGGATCCAATCTGGACAGCCAACCTGGCTCACCCTTTTTTGGTCCCAATTTTTTTCATTTATAATCATTCTTGCCATGTTCCACTCTTTCTATGTCTCAGTACTCCCACTCCCCCAAAATCAATACAAAGGTTTTGGAAAAAACATTTTTATTTTTTATTTTTCACAAATTTTGAAACTTGGTTTTTTGTTTTTATTTTTTCATATTCATTCTTTGGGACCTATTCTGCACCAATTCACCAAGTCTTGTGACTTGGAGTTTGTGCTTTGAAGCTGTAGAACCCAAAACAAGCCGCCAAAAATAACGGTCCACCCACTGTACATGCTATAAAGAGGGGTCTAGGTGATCCCCAGGTTACAACATAAGAGCAAAGTATAGGCCTACCTTCAGCTACACATGGACCTGCGCCAATACCACCTTCCCCTCCCGTATTCTTGTGCATGGCATTGGCAATGTATTTCTACAACATTACCCTCCACTCCAATATTACGGACATACTTGTCATTTGGAACATAATTTTGGTTTATTGCTGCTCAACATCAGCTGGCCTATCATTGCAAAGTCTTTCTTCCCTCAGCACAAAATAGATAAATCAAAAGAGCTTAGAGCCGCACCAGCTATAGATCAAACTCCCCTTCAAAGTGGTCCAAAAAACCTTGTTTTCTCTGATTCTATCAATATATTCAGTCAATTTGGCCACAACCAGGACCCCACAAATCCCGAACACCTGGCCGAGGTGTACAGCTCTCCGGCATTTGCATCCGTAATTGATGGTTCCCTGCTCCAGAAATTGTGACAAGCTGCCAACTTGACCCGCAAATTCAATGAAAATTTGGAATGTTTTGCAGTTCCAGGTATCAATGCAATGGTCATATTTGTGTTTCAGTTGAGTGACCATTGCGTTAATTCCTGATACATAGAACACTGAAGTGCAAATTTCTGTTTCTGTATAGAACATTAAAGCAGATAATTGCAACTCAACTAAAGCTTTATTAGAATGGCAGAAAGACACTTTGATTGAGACACCCATTAACTGGCGGGACAATCAAAACACTCACACTTGCATGCAATTAAACCTCACAAATCTTTTGCGTGTCATTCAGTTGACCACATTGTTGAACAAACAATTATTGAAGCAGGACATACAACTCATCAACATTTTCAGCCGGATGATCAAAGCTATCAAACAATCAAAACCGTCAAATTATGGAGATTTGAGCAGATTTTGTTTGGGCACATGCTGTGAAGTTGGATTTGAACCATTATTGGAGTGACCAGTGTTCTTCCACATGCCCTTTAGTGTTCTCATTTTCTGTCCATTGAATCTTGGTTGACCCTTATAAAGTCTCCAAGCATATCAATGAGTGGCCAGTGAACAAATAATCACTCATGAGTATTAAGAGAATTATTACCCCTAAAAATGATTAATCATGAATATTAGCGGGGTTCACAATTGAATTTCTCAAAACTTTAAGGGCCATTTTAAGGCCTTTCCTGGCAACTTTTCTCAAAAAATGAAAAAATCGTCAGGACAGCCCCAAACATGCCCCAGGGGGCCATCTGGACAATTTTGGAAAAAGTTGTTGATAAGTGCCTTAAATAAGGCTCTGCAGTTTTGCAAATTACAATTATGAACCCCCCTATTGGAGGGGTTATTGCCCTCACAAATTATCAGTATTAGATGAGTAATAAGTACAAAGCAGTAATTGAGGGATCACACACCACCAGTGTAATTGCGTGGATTGCATGTCCTGCAAGCAGCTGATGTAATCCAGATTTTGTCACTTCACACAGTGGCTGCACTCACCAAATGGAAGTGAAAAAATCCAAATGTTGTGCCAGCGGGCTGTATTAGTGGGTTAGATAGAGATGATCTATAACACATCCCTATCTGCAAGTTCAAAAGAAGGAGATGGGGCTGTGGATTCAATTCCCACAGTGCACAACAGCACTTGGAACTAAAACAACACTTCCAAATCAATTGTTTCAGATAGCTTTATCTGTGAATATATCAGATATCTTCACCTGATGTTACATTAGTTGGAGTGCCTGATTTATTGAATCATAAAATCATATTTGCAGGGAATCTTGAAATTCTGATTATTTAATCTGAAGTGCTCCCACCAAAATTAGTTCATGATTTTATGATTTATGTGTATATGATTTTATGCAAATCAAATTTGATCACCCACAAAAAAAATAATAAAAAAAATAAAAAAATTGAGATTGAAATTGGGCGGACGACTCCCAGAATCCGCCCACACTTTAGAAGATGACTCCCAACGGACGTCTGCTGACAGTTGTTGGGAGTCGTTGGCGAAAAAACGCGAGTCGTTTTTCCGAGTCCCTATTTATAATTTTCATACTTAATGTAAAGAAATGTGCATTACTGCTATGATATATGTTTCTTTGTGGGATTTTTTTTTCTAGTTGTCATGAGAGGTAAATGAATTTTTGGAGACTGAGTGGGGGTTGGTAGAGGCTGTGAATATAGGGCCAACAAAATATAGATAAGAGAAGAAGGAAAAATTGATAGATACGAGAAGAATAAAAATGATAGAGAAGAGAAGATAAAAAATTTGTAGAGAAGAGAAGGAATTATACTTTGACTCTTGAGGTCAAAGCCACAGGTTTTTTTTTGTCATCTTGGCTGCTTCCAATTCCGCTTGAGTAGCCAATATTATGTCCTGGGCCGCCTGGAATGGGTCAACGGGGTTTATCCCTTTGGTAATCCATTGGTGTGAACTTACACATCTCTCAATCGTTTTGGCTGCTAAGTTAACTCAATCTTGCCTGCAAATGTCCACTGTGGCTGAAAAAAATTGCTCCACACTTGCAGACGTAGCACTTGTAGCCAGGTAGTCTCGTGCAAGTAGCGCAACCACTGGGAATTCTGTTGAGAATTGCTGTATCTCATAGGCAAAAATGTTTTTATCAGATTCAGAACTTGAAATATGAAATGAACGAACCCAACTTCCACCAAGTTAAGCAGTCAGCAGCCTGTGAAGAGGGGAGCCAATACTTGCCCCCAAGGTATGCTGCCAGTTTGTCGTAGTTCTCTGGCGCAGCATCAACACTGTAACAGATACGATACACTGTGTGTATCATGGAGAATTCTGCAAAGCTGCATGGCCAAAAAACAAATTTGTTGAATCTCCTTGCAAATAAAAGCAGATTGGTCAGATAGTTTTTTTTTATTGGGTCTCAGATACATAGTGATACATGGCAGATACATGGCAGATACCGTATCTGTTTCAGCGTTGGCAGCATCCAAAAAAAAGTTGACATCTTCCTCCAGTCCACCACCGGGGGCCAGGGTTGTGTTCTTTTTGGGTGGAGGTGTGTCTTCATCTCTTGCATCCTGGTCATTGAGTGCCTGTTTGCGTTGTTGGAATTTGGCTTCAAGAATGGCTTGTGCGCGGGGGAAGGCCAAGGGGTACCACTTCTGGATCATTGACAGGCGGTAGCTGGGGTTGAGAGCTGTGGCGAGAAGAATGGCATCACATGCAAGAGCCTTGTTGATGTAGGTATTGATTTTTTTGAGCATGGTGTTGATCATGTTCTTGAATTCATCCTCATTGATGGTGCTGAGCTTGCCCTCTAGGTATTGTTGCAGGAGCCGGTATTTAGCGAGGACCATTGATGCCGATGGGATGTCGCCCTCCATCTTCTTAGTGACATAATAGAATTCCTGTTGATGATGTATTGAAATGTATGGATATCATAGGTAATTAGATACTGAGATAAAAATTAATATTGGAAAGAAGGAGGAAAAGCTTACACTGATGATATCATTCAATTTCTTGACAATGTCCCAGTCGCTTTGTGTGATTTCGTATTCGTTGAAGTGGTTCTTGCCTCCCTCGTGATCTTGTCTGTCTTGCTCGTTTTCAATCAGTTTTTTGATGACATTCTGTGCAATATACCCCCGCTTGCGGCTCTTGAACTTGATATTCCATCATATTCTGTAGCCTGCAATCAGAGTGGGCCCCGTGTATTCAAGTTTTTTGGCCCATGTGTTGAACTCTGCTCGCTTGGCCACTGAGGAGGTGATTTGTTGAATGACATAATCAACCTAATTTAACATATTAGAACATGGTCAGGGGGAATATAAAAATATAAAAATAGGGCATTACTGACCTTCTTCAATATCTTCTCAATAACATTCAACTCCCTAACTGCTGGTCCTTTGTCTTCGCTGTCATCAGAGTCTGAATCATCTACAAAACCATCTTGATCAAAGGGGTTGGCCATTGGGTCCACTTGGCCTGACTCGGATGATTCCTTGGTTATGGCACACAGTCCTGGGACAAAGCCCAACACAGTGCTGGTGGGGATTTGATTTCATTGAGGTACCGCGATTGATTTGAGACCAGCATTGAGGATGAGGGCCAGCTTGTGACAGAAGCACCAAATATGATTCTTGGCAATTGAGATATTGTTGTTGTGATTTGAGTCCTTCTTGAGCAATCTGTCCGCTTCAACAGCCATTGTGAGGTTATTTGATCCGGATTCAGTAGTTTGGGCTATGATGTAAATACAAGAAACAACAGAAGTTCGGATTAGCTGGTGTGTGATTCACAGTGTTATACATAATAATAAATAGCAAAACTTATCTTATTGTTCAACCCGGACTTGAGGAAAATGTGGGCCAATGGGATTGCCAGATATTTGCCCTTATGTGTCCAAGCAATATACTTAACCAATAGATGGCTGACCTTGAACATCCAACTTTCATCAATGTAAGCAACGGTTATCCCTAGAAAAGCGTTCCTATTGCCCCTAGTAGTCCATACGTTGTGGATAAGGCTGAGCTTTGAGGTATTTGTCTAAAAAATGAATTGAAGAGGAGCAATCAGCCAATGAATTGAATGATGATGAGCACTGAAAAGAAGGAAAAACACCGGCTTTTACTGTGTGAGAATCCAATCCTTGCTAATGCAAGTGGCATCCTCTCTACCGCGTGGGCTCAGTGGCAGCCCACACGCTGTAGACTCAAAGTGGTATGAAACCTTTGCTGAATGGAGAAGGGTATGTGGAGTGCAGCTCTGCCATTCTATACTATCAGAATAACAAGACCACCAAGCTTAGCTTGGCAATTTATATATAGTGATAGGAATAGTTCAAGATGAAGCTGCCGATTGATATGCGTGAGGGTATAAAGATGTTATTGACTGTTGGTTATATTGATGAAGTTGTTGTTGATGAATATGGTTCAGGGCACTTTTGGTTTATGTTGATGATGAAAGTGTTAAATCTGTATTTCAATGTGTATAAATCTGTAATTGTAATGTGGCTATGACTTGGAGTTATGAAATAATATATAAGATGGTTTTATTTATAAGGGTGGTTGAGATGATCTGGTCCACTGGTGGGATGATGGAGGGAACAACTGGCAGGCAGAGGCCTCCTTATATAGACAAATGTGAGGGATTTTGGCCCCAGGGTACAGGCTGAAAGATACTACTACAAAGGGATGCATATGAATGAATAAAGGGACGCATATGTATGATCAAAGGGATGCATACATGCAATATCACTAATACAAAGGGATTCAAAACAAAGTAAAGGTATTCAATTTACTACAAAGGTATTCAGTATTCAATATGCATCCTGTACTCATAATGACTATGGCTAGAGTGAAGAATCCAAGAAATATCCTGTGACAGGTTGAAATACGTGTAACTTCTGAACTATAAGAGATAAGGGTATGGTTGTAGTGGGTGACTAGGGGTTATTTTACCTGAGGATTCCATTTTTGGTGTTATTTTTACCATATCTTGAATGTATAAAGAGATAATAAGAAATTTTTATATTTTCTGCGTAGAAACACAGTATTATTTACCACAACGCGGTTGTATGGCTTGGCCACATGACAAAGATATTGGAATGCTATTCCTAAAATGAAATCCTCAATTAGAACCCATGGCAAAGAGTGTCGGATTATCCACATCACAAGGAGCTGGTTGAACGTATTGTTGTCAAAGTTGTTGCCGTCTACCATTTTCCTCATTGCGACCTTCTCGGGTTGGTTGTTCAGGGCTTTTTTTCCTTCATGGTCATTGGGAGCTTACACCCAGCTTCAATTTCCCGGCCTCGTCCGGGGCACGGTTCTCGGTTTGCATTGCCGTCTCGATGTTTGATGAGGTTTGCCCGAGTTTCACCACCTTTTTGATAAGGGACATCACACCATTTACATTTTGAAGACAAAGTTTCATTCTAAAAAAAATAAGAGAATTCAAACCACATCATCAGTCGTGTCAAAGAAACCAAATAGAATAAAATGAAAACAATCATAAGAGTAACAAATAGCCCAGAATTATTTTGCCTTCCTCAAACACAGGTGGATGAGGTAAACCAACACGTTACATAGACTAGGCCAAGAGGGGTGGTGCCAGAGGGGCCGTGCCATGGTGTGTGAGGTCAGTTGTGTTGGGGAATTGTTGCTGACAAGCTACTCCGAGTCCGACTCGTCTACTAATGGCAAGTGGGGGTTGGTGGTGAGTGGACAGGTTGGTGGGGTGGGGAGGTTTTAGTAGTAGTGTACTGTAGTGTAGACCCCAAGGGTTGGTCCGAAATGATGACCGACCAAAAATCCTGGGCCCCAATACAGTATCAGGAACAGGTTGGATTGGCTGGGGCAATACCGATACCGAGTTCCCATGTGGCTCGGATAGGATTGCTCCAGCCAATACCGATCATCCAATAAATTGGGATTGGATCAGCAATAGATCCAATCCCGATACGTAGTATCAGGCAAGATTTCAATCCGATCCCCAATAAATACCAATCCAGGGATCGGATCTGTTACATTTTTGGTCTGGGTGTGGTAGGCGGTCAAAGGATGAAGCCGGATTCCAAGTTGCTTGTCCAACTCTTGTGTGATCTGAGAGATCAAAATACTTCCTCTGTCCGAGAAAATTGTCTTTGGGGTGCCGTGGAGTTTCCAAACCTGTTTCAACATAAGATCGTAAGCTGTTCGGAGTTCATGGACTTGTTGCAAGGAAGGAAGTGGGCCATTTTAGTCAGTCTGTCAATCACAGTCAGGATACTGTCACAATTGTTCAATAGGGGAAGGTCTGTTATCAGATCGTAACTAATGTCTGTCCAAGGTCCTGCAGGGATGGGCAGTGGTTCCAGTGTTCCAAATGGCTTATGGGTTGAAGACTTTACTCTAAGGCAAGAGTTGCACCCATCCACGTAGCGGTTGACAAAAATCTTCATGGATGGCCACGTGAAGCTGAAGCGTATCAGTGAGAGAGTCTTTGATCTTCCCGGGTGTCCTGCTAATTTGCTGTTGTGGCGGCTCTTCAGATTCTTGGTCTTGAGGTCTTCATTCCATGGCACTTCAATCCGTCTGCCCCTGTAGAGGACCCTGTCCTTCACCGAGTAATGCTTTGTTGCCTCTTTAATTCTACTGGAAACAGGGTTCTTGCGGGCTGAAATCAATTCCATCAGTCTGGAATCAGATGAAATCAGGGATTGGATTTGGCTTATCAGCTTGCTGTCCGTCGGGATATCCTCTGTCGGGGTGTTGGGCTCCTCCACTCCAAGGATGTTGACTTGAAACCAATGTTTGGTGTCCTCCAGGTCCACCGAGTCATCTTCAAACCTGAAGTCAAATTCAGCCACTTCAGCAAAAGTGCCGGGGGTGATGTTCTTGGGTCGCAAAAGTTGTCCAAAGGTGAGCTCCCCTTCAAAGGTGCCAGGTCAGGTTGCCTGGACAGAGCATCCGGCTTGGATGACTGTCAGCCTGGACGGAAGACAATTTCAAAGTCAAAGCATCACATGGTCTCAGCCCATCTAGCGGCCTGTCTCTGTGTCAGTTGCTTGGTCGTCATGAAGCTTTCAAGGTTCCGGTGGTCGGTGTATACAATTGCCTGTAGACGGTTTGGGTTGCCTTCCAGGTAGTGATGCCACAATTGCCAGCAGTTCCTTGTCAAAGATGTCATAGTTCTTCTCAGATTGGACCAGTGATTGCAATAAATAAGCCACTGGGTGAAGTTCTTGGTCTGTCACAAATTTGGGATAGTAAGGCGCCAAGGGCAAAGTATGAGCAATCACATTCAAGGACAAAGGGCCTGTATGGGTTCGCAATCTTCAGCACAGGTGCAGTGGTAAACATGGTCTTCAAAGTCTCAAAGCCCTTGTTACATCGGTCATCCCAGACATAGGGAGTTGTGGAGAGGTTGGGCTATTCCAGAGAAGTGGAATTTTGAGAAGCCGATAAAACGCTGCAGTTCAGTCACATTCTTTGGTGGCAGCCATTCAGATACAGCTTTGACTTTAGTCGGGTCCATCCTCAGCCAGTTACATCATATCAAAAGTCCAAGGTTTTCCACTTCTGGTCAAGAGAATTCACATTTTTCCGGTTTCAGCCAAAGTTGGTGCTTGCTAAGTGTCTCCAATACTCCCATGACTGCCGTTTGGTGATCAGTTCCCTTCTGCGTGTAGATCATGATGTTGTCCAGGTAAGCTGCCGTGTCCTTCCCAATGCGTCCCAATAGGATGTCTTGCATAAAATATTGAAAGTAGCCTGGCGCTCCTGTTGGTCTGAACAGCATAGTCAGAGGTGCAAATTGGCCTTGTTGGAAGACAAAAGCTAGTTTCTCCTTGTCTCCTTCCGCAAAACGCAGGTTCCCATAGGAATTCCTCAGGTCAAGCTTGGTGAAAGTGTTGGCGTCAAGTAGACTGTCAACCAGGTCCATCATCAGAGGCAGGGGGTACTTTTTCTTCACTGTAACTGCATTGAGTTTCCGGTAGTCAAAACATGGCCGTAGATTTCCGTCTTTCTTCCCGGTGAACAGCACCGGTGCTGCTCAAGGCAAAGTGGTTTGTCTGATGGTGCCGTTCTCTAGTCCTTCAGTGATCAGAGTGTCGAGCGCTTGGTTTTCAGCAGGAGAAATAGGGACGATCCTGCTTGCTTGGGGAAGGGCTCCCGGCACAAGGTCTACTTGAAAGTCGTAGATTCTTTGAGGCGGTAGCTTCTGGGCCCTGGATTTGCGGAACATGTTACCGGTGGTATTGGGTTGGGACTAGTTCTTCTGCCATTGTGGTAAGCCAATCCTGAAGCTCCAAGCACAGCAAGAGTACGATTTACCGGGAAATCACAGGATCAAGACACCCCAGAAAGCTCCTCAGACCCTCAAACCAATCAGGAATCCCCTCAAGCACAGACCACATGGATAATAACATTTCCCAGCCAGAAACTCCACACCCCTGAAAATTGCTCCCCTGCAAACATATTCCATTCTCCCTCTCCCTTGTGTCTCACACTAGTAACAATCCCCTTGGCCATGAAACTGTTATCTCCTCCTATTTTCTTACATGGAATATTCTTCCCCTTAGTTGTTTCATACTAGTATACTTGGGGGCATTTGCCCACTGCTTGGTTCCCCTGTTTTCTCTGGATAAATATTTTCCCTTGTTTCACACTCTCCATAGAATGTTCCACATATCTTCCAACCACAAGCTGGCCACTCCCCAGAATT